ACACACACACACACATAAATTAAAATAAATTATATGTTTGAGTGTCCTTGAGTTTCATTTTGTAATGTCTATAAGAACCTTGTCGAGTGTAATATAAGCTTTGAGCAGCACATTACAAAACTTGCTTTTATCAACTAAGGAACAATAGTCAACATATGTTAAATTGCAAAGATACATAAAACATTTTACATGCTTTAATTTCATCACTCCCGGATTACTGTCTCAGCCTTTTATGTGTCTAAATAGACAAAACTGTAGAGCAGTAGACCAGTACAGAGCTCAGCTGCCCGCCTTTCAACCAGTGTAAACTGGTTCACACTGGACCCCTGGACCACTGGACCCCAGTTTTAACCTCTTTACACTGGCTTCCATTACACTTATGAATTGATTACAAGGCACTAAATGGTCTGACTCCTCAGTAGAAGATCTTTTATCCCCGTACGACCCTGCTCGCACTGCTTGTCTGGTAGGGGGCTTTTATCTGTTCCACACTCGGCTGAAGAATAAGGGGGACAGAGCTTTTGAAATAAGAGCCCCGAGGCTCTGGAACATCCAGCCTGAGGAAATGCAGCATACTGAGTCAGTGGCCCCTTCCAGATCTAAGATAAAAATTTACTTTTATTGCAGCGCCATCCCTGATTTCATCAGATTCTTGTTTTTATTCTGTTTTATTTTTATAAAAATATGGCTTGTTTTGTATGTCTGTTCTTTTATTGCTGTGTTTTTACGTTTCTGTGTTATGTTTTATGTGTTCTTTGCTGGCTATCTGTCGTACCTTGTCACGTTTTGATAAGTGCTGTATAAATAAAGGCTTATTATAATTTAAATAGGTTGCTGCTATAACAAAAAACACAATCGGTACCAGCAGTGTACGAACTAATGCTGTTCACCCTAACACACTAAGACAATTAATAATCTTTTTTCTGTCAATCTCAGCTGATCTCGGCCATTCCCACCCACCACCTGAAGTTCCTGAAGGAGGCCGGACATGGCACCACAAAGGAGGAAATCCACGAGGAGGAGCTGACGGAGGGCGCCGACGAGATCGACCACGCTGAGATGGAGTTGAGGAGAGGCCAGATCCTCTGGTTCAGAGGTCTGAACCGCATCCAGACGCAGGTACGAACACCACGCCTCACTGTGACACGCAGCACACTGCCAAGAACTTTATCACTAACTTTACTTTGTGTTTAAAGTTGTTTTTTTTATATCAGGTTTCCAAGGTGCTGTTTATGGAGGTAATAACTTGACTCAGATATCTGTGGTGTCATGAGAGCTGCAGAACACATCAGTTGCTATGGTGATTCAGGAGGAAGAAAAAAAGATTACTTTTTGATTTTATTATTGTTTTTTGTTTGTTTCTGGTCAGCTGTCTCACTGGTGAATTGTTGTTTATACCTGGACAGCATTTCAGGTACATTTCTGAATCACAAAACAAACTTTAAATCAAATTCAGCCTCCTGGTCGCCTTCATTCTCCAAAAATCAAACAAACGTCCCTTCGAACGACGGGAGGTAAAGAACTGAGAGTTGAGTGAAATTGTCCCAGTAGAGCTGTCCTGTTTCATTGAGACGGTGAGGAGAGATTTAATTCACTCAGTTCATAAGAGCTGCAGTTAATTTTAGTCAAATCAGATTCAAATACAAGTTAGCATTAAGAAGCTAGTTTAGATAATTAGTTTGAATGTGAGCCATTTTGGACTTGAATTATATTAAAGAGGCACAAAAAATTGATTTTTTTTGTTATTACAAATAAATAAAGTAGGAGATAATGGTTTCTGCAAATCTTGGAAACTACCAACTGTAATGTTAGAAAAACTCAAAGTTACAACAAAATACCTCCTTTTGATTGTAATCTTAACACATAATGCAGAGTTCAGATACTTGCCGATAATGGTCCAACCCCACAGACGTGGAGGTCGACAGTTGCTGGTGTTATCTTATGTAATTGGACGTAGTGGAAGACAACAGGCTCAGCATGTTAGAGAACTCACTACGTCTTGTACCAAAAGCCGAGCAGGTCAGAAATTGTTGTTGATCAATGTTGATCTTCAGCTGTCAGGATGATGATGTTGGTGCTGTCAGGTGGGACAGTGAAGTGGGTCCCTTGTAGTTGGCGATGTCTCTCATCCCAGTCATGACTGTGATCGACTAATGAGACACAGTGACAATCTCTGAAGACTAATATTGGGATCAGATTACACAATAATAATATCTAATCATTATTAGAGCCTTTATTTAATCGCTTAGTAGCATTGAGATCAAGGTCTCTTTATCAAGAGAGACGCGAGTACAACAAAATCAAACTACCACATGCTAATTTACTCTGACTGAACCTGACTGTGAAATGTAATATTTCAAGAAATCAAGGAAATTTATGTTTAAATTTGATTTCATCATCGTATCGATTTGTGGGAAAATACGACAAAATATTGGCTTGAATATTTGTCAGCTGTCCATCATGTGAAAGATCTTCTATAGCCTGTAGCAGTGCAACTATATCACTTATTTATTTAGTTCTGTATTATTTAGATATTTGCTGAACGATAAAGTTGAATTAATATTATTTCCACTTTCTGTAATTGTTGTACAGCCACTCAGTGAGGAGCAAACGCCATTTTCCTAGAGATATTTAATACAAACAAACACACACACACACACACACACACACACCACAATTGTTGTCCGGGTAATTTCACACTTCGCCGCAGAGCTTCGGTACAGAACCACTTTATTAAAACACAGAAATCAAAGATGGCATCCAGCGTGGGACAAGAAAGCTTATTAGATATTTTTATTCTTCAGTCAGTCGGTACTGGAAGCAAACAGCAGCACCTTCGCAGCGCTGTCTTCCCCTGTGACTCATCTCACAGTCTGGGACTTTGCTCTGTGTGAGAGACACATGTGTGCATGTTCTCCTCCTCCATTAGGATAGATCAAAACTCACTGCATTAGCCTTTCCACAGGCAGTCCTATTCTGTCCCTATGGGGTTCATTAGCCTCGATGCTAACACCCACCTACAGTAACAGCAGCCAACGCTCTGCTCACACACACACACACACACACACACACACAAACAATCGGTCAGGGAGGTCAGGTGTTCTCCTCTCAGCAGTGGACTAACTTGTACTTACTGTTGCCGGAAGCTAAACACATAATAACTAATATCTCACTCTGTTTTGTCCTCTTGAGTTTTTCTGAAAACTCAAACAGACTCAAACTGACACAACATCAGACTTTTATTGTTGTTCCAGGAACTGTGCTCAAGTCATAATTACTTTTAATTTAAAGTGGCTGTAAGCAATAGTTTTATAATAACAATGTATGAACCTACAGTTAATTATCCCCCGAAT